TCTCTAATTTGTTAGAAAGGAGATGCAGGTTTCAATTGATTAATATGCAAGTCCCAGAATTTCTTTCAAGTCACTGCCCTGAGATAATAAAAAGGTTTTAATCACTGTATACCAGAGGTGACATCTCAGGTCAGACAATGCATTTCAGTGTGAGGCCTTGTTTAGAATCTGTCTGTGTTTTAATGTGGAGTCAAACTGGTTTTATTTCCAAAGTGGGAATTTATAAAATGCCACATTGACTGTCTACAAATTGTGTGCTTTTTGAACAAAATAGAATGTATCTGCAATTACAAATCTGCAGATGCAAATTCATCCCATAGATTTATATGTGTGTGTATGTGTCTGTGTGTGCTTGAGTGTGTGTGAGTGTGCAAGAGAGATTGTGAGTATGACAGAGGGTCTGTGTGTGTGTTTCTGTGCGTGTATGTGAGTGTGTGCAAGAGTGTATAGTGTAGTGGGGTCACCTGTGGTGTGACACGAACCCAAGATCCCGGTTGAGGCTGACAGCTATTGCACTCGTCCAAACATGCTATGAGACCTCAAAGCTATTGGACAATTACAGAGGCTGACATTCCTGTTCTCTGTCTCACGTGCAGTTACAATAAGCTGTCCCTGATTACTGACTGTATTAGAACAGTCTATCCTAAGGGGTGTGATAGCCTCTTGGTACAAAGAATTTCAGTAATTTTCGCAGTATCTGGAAGTCAGCCTCCAGCTCACAAAATGAAGCTATTTGAATTTCAGTCACTTAATGCAGACATTACTAATCTGGACCACAATGGTAGCCTTGAACTCCCAGCTACTGCAGCTGTAGATGGGGCAGAGGAGGTTGACCAGGATGTTGCCTGGGCTGGAGAACTTTCTCTATGAAGAGAGATTGGACAGACTGGGATTGTTTTCCTTGGAGCAGAGGGGATTGAGAGGGGACATGATTGAGATGTATAAATTATCATGGGGTGCAGACAGGAATAAACTTTTCCCCTTGTTGGAAGGATCAATGACCAGGGGGCAGAACGTTTGGAGGAGATGTGAGGAAAATCCTTTTCACCCAGAGAGTGGTGGGAAATCTGGAGCTCACTGCTTGTAAGGGTAATAGAGGTAGAAACCCTCATCACATTGTAGAGTATTTTGATGTGCACTTGCAATGCCAAGACATATAAAGCTACAGGCCATGTGCTGGAAAATGGGATTAGAATAGTAAGGTGGGTGATTTTGACTGGCACAGACTTGATGGGCTGAAGGAAAATTTTCTGTGCTGTAGATCTCTAAATTCTACAATCAGAATGGACTTTCACAGAATATGAGCATTATGAAAATCAATGTATACAGCATATCAGTCTACATTTAATGGAGATGGATTGTTACTGTTAATTTGACATAGGATCAATAACTGGGAGAAAATTTTGATAGAAAATGAAAATGCCTTTGAATTTATTTCTTTGCAGGGAGATGTGATAAAATATGCACAATAGATTATCCTCATTTGGGGCTTGGATTTTAAAATAGAGGCAGATGATTTTGGTCAGTTCTGGAAAGATATTTTGTTTTAAAGGTCAGAAAGTCATTTGGAACAAGTGACTTAAATACATAAATAAAGGCTGCTGATGCAGGAAATCTGAAACACATACAAAGTGCTGGAGAAACTCAGCAGGTCTGGCAGCATGTGAGGACAGAAACAATGATAATGTTTCAAGTGATACAACTTGAAATTCTGAAGACCACGCCAGACTCAAAATGTTAACTCTATTTTTCTCTCCGTCAATGCAGCCAGATCTGCTGAGTTTAACCTACATACACAAGGCACGTGATCTTTTTGTTAAAATTCATCCACGAGGCGTGACTTCTGTTAACTGTTGTGGCAAAATACTGTAATTCAGGTCAAGGCCAATGGTTTAGCAGAAGGTTCAAGCTTTAAGTTCATGGGAACCTGTCACCTAGAAAGAATGATTTCATCTGTGAAGCATCCAGATTTTGAGAATGTACATGCCAGCATTCAGAGAAATTAGCAGACCAAGGGAAAGAACTGGGAGGAATCAGTTTTGTAAGAAATTCAAGTTAAGATAGCAGCAATATTTCTCAGGGATTGAGCCCATGGAAAGGTTTGTGTTGGGAAACAATTTGACACTTATAGTCACAGTGAGATTTTTCTACAAAGATACAGATGTGGAGTAACTTCTTAATTTCCTTTATGTAATAAATGTGTTCTCTTGCTAAAGGCCGTTTACTGCTGCCAGCGTCTCTGTTCAGTAACTAGACTCTGTCTTGCTCACAATTCAGACAGTCCACACACCTTCAGCCTACTGAAGGCTAAGAAATGAGGAAACATTGTGCCAGGAGTACAGAAATTTCATTCGAGATTGATGAGGTTTGCTGACACAACAAATATTTGCAAGGGAAGAAACAAAAGCAGAAATTGCTGGAGAAACTCAGCCGGTCTGGCAGCATCTGCAGAGAGAGAAAGCAGAGGTAACGTTTCGAGTCCAGTGACTGTACTGACGACTGCTTTCTTCCCACCGATACTTACAGACCTGCTGAGTTTCTCCAGCAATTTCTGACTTTGTTTCAGAATTTACACACAGGGCGGTTCATGTTTAAGAGAACTGTCAGAGAAAGTGATGGATGCAGGTATAGTTACAACATTTAAAATACACTTGAATAAGTTCATGATTAGGAAAGGTTTGGAGGCATATGGGCTACACGCAGGTAGGTGGGACTAGTTTAGTTTGGGATAATGATTGGCATGGATTGGTTGGACTGAAGTTTCTGTTTCCATGCTGTATGACTCTGTGACTCTATGATTCCAGCATCTGTAGCTCTTTGATTTATTTTAGTGTGGAAGGGAAGGAATAGACAAGCAGAAATATTATCGCATATTCCTGTGGCAAAGCCTGAATGAGAGGGTAAAAATCTTGTTGAAGATGTGTGTGCTCAAATTTGTAATACTCTGCATTAAAGGATGACCAGAATATGTTTGTTATGTTCTAATATTCCAAGAATAGTATTTTAAGCCTAACCAAGAGCTAGATATAAGGGCAAGAAAGCAGAGTTAGCTAAAATAAACTGGCAACTTAGGTTAAGGGCTGAGTCTGTACAAATGCAATAACAGACATTAAAAAGGATATTTCAGATCCACCCCAATAGATACATTCCAACAAGGTGATGGATTGGCAATCTGCGATTAACTAAAATAGTTAAAGATAGCATCAAATGTGCAATATTTTGAGCAAAGAAGATAGCTCAATGTTGTGGATGACTTGCTGATTTATGACAAGGAGCTGTCACACATAGAAACCACAGACTCGATATACTGGAGGTCATAACATCGCAAATGTCTCATACCAGAGGGTGACATTCTGTTTAGTGGAAAGGGATCTTCAGTCATGAACAGACATGATTTCCAATTCGATCTCTTGTGGAATCCACCGATAGAAACAAAGGGTTTCTATTTGTTAGTCTATTTGTTCCTGTCCAGACTGGGGAGAAGTAGGATGAGCACTGTTCCAATCAAACAAGGGAATACAATCATCATTGCAGAGTATCTAAAAGTACAACAACTCTTGGCTGCAGAGTCACTGTAGATTCCTGACCGTATCCTTGAGAAAACATTACACTCCAATCCTACTTTGTGGAGACAGCATTAGATTCTACAAGGATGTGACCTTCAGCTGGGCTGACGCACAAAGATGGTCTGAATGGTGAACTGGTATCATCTCCTGATTAGTCAGTATAGTGTAAAGGATGAACATCAATGTTTAACTTCACAAGTTCACATTATCACTGGGAAGAGAATGAAAAGATAACTACTAGGAGATGGAGCTCACTCAAAGGAAGTCTTCTCCAGTGTGAATAGCATTTATCATATTTGCATAAAAGGAAACATTTGCTACAATCTTTATCAACCTCTCTCTCCAGATGTGACCAATATTATTGAACTCTGGGGAAGGTGGGTTCAAACCCAACCACAGCAGCTCGTGGAAATTCACAGAAAGATTTGAATTCAATTAAATCTAGAATTGAAACTAGTCTTGTGGGAGGCGATGGCCTATTGGTATTATCGCTGGACTATTAATCCAGAGACCCAGATAATGTTCTGAAGACCCAGGTTCGAATCCTGCCATGGCAGATGGTGGAATTTGAATTCAGTAAAATATCTGGAATTAAAAATCTAATGATGACCGTGAACCCATTGTCGATTGTCAGAAAACCCCATCTGGTTCACTTATGTCCATTAGGGAAGGAAACTGCCATCCTCACCTGGTCTGGCCTACATGTGACTCCAGACCCACAGCAATGTGGTTGACTCTTAACTGCTCTCTGGGAAATTAGGGATGGGCAATAAATGCTGCCTGGCCAGCGATGCCCTCATCCTGTGAATGAATAAAGGAAGAAGTAATGCTGACCCAAGAAATTCTCACCAATTGTCGTTAAAAAGCCTGATTCGCTAATGCCCTTTGGTGAAGGAAATGTCCTGCCCTTACCTGATCTGGCCAACGTATAACTATAGACCCACTTAACTGACTCTGAAATAGCTGAACAAGCCTCGCAACTACAGATTGGCAAGAAATGCTGTTTGTTCCAGTGATGTTCACATCTCATGACAGACTAAAGGAAACTGCACTCTCTCTTCCCCCAGAGCCCCTCTCACTACCTCACTCTGGCTATGTCCTAAACCCTGCCCCTCTCCCCATATTCCCTCCTCAATTTTATACTCTCATCCCTGACTCTTCCCATCCTCCCCTCAACCTTGCCCCCCCAGCTTCCCTGACTTTGCTCCTCTCTCTGGTCCCAATCTGACGCCCAGGCCTCCCTCCCATCCCCAAACACCCCCATCTCCATTTGACACTGCCTCTTCCCCTCCAGATCATCAATCCTAACATCTCCTTTTGTGGCTTAAGGGTGTATTTAAGATGATTCTTTTTCTGATTGGTAATGATTACACTTCTGAAATACCTCAGGTTGTTTATAGCTTGTCAAAGGCACTCATTGTTTTTGTGACTCAGAGTTGTTGGAGAAAGGAAATCGAGGCAAAATGGGCTTCAAACTATAGATTTATTTTGGAACACTATAAAAATAGTTTTGCTTTATTTAATACAAAACCGTCCAACAATGTGAACTTTTAGTACTGACTCACAGCAGAGCACAGTGGAATGAGTGGGTGATTTATGCCAAGGAAGGGTGTTGTGGATTCAGTCCTCTGCTAGGTAGTGGTCTGATGCAACCTCACTGGCTTTGATGGCCTTAAATGGGCGGCAGATGGCATTCCTTACCCTCTCGCGGTTATTGTGTAGGATTTGGTTGATGGCATATTCATTCTCCTGGCCAATATCTGTCAGCCGCAGGTCAAACTCCATTACAGTCTTATTCATTGACATTCCCTCTTGTAGCTGCCTTCCTCCTTCCTGATAAAAGGAAACAGGGGAAAAACTTAAAAGGAGTAGAGAGAAAGAGATCTGAGAGATATAAAGACCTGAGAGAGGACACCATGAAGAAACCTGAGGGAATGATACAAGATGAATACCAAATTGCTGTGGGATTGCACAGGCTTTGACATTAATTGCAAATCCTCTCTAACTACAGGACAGCTCATGTGGTACCATTATTCAAAAAGGGCGGTAGGGATAAAGCAGAGCATTATAGGCAAGTGAGTCTACCACAAAGACAGAAATTGCTGGAGAAGTTGAGTAGGTTTGGCAGCATCTGTGGAGTGAAAGCAGAGTTTAATGTACTCAACAGTACGTAGAACATAGAACATAGAACATTACAGCGCAGTACAGGCCCTTCAGCCCTCGATGTTGCACCGACCTGTGAAACCAATCTGAAGCCCATCTAACTTACACTATTCCATTATCATCCATATGTTTATCCAATGACCATTTAAATGCCCTTAAACTTGGCGAGTCTACTATTTTTGCAGGCAGGGCATTCCACGCCCTTACTACTCTCTGAGTAAAGAACCTACCTCTGACATCTGTCCTATATCTATCACCCCTCAATTTAAAGCTATGTCCCCTCGTGCTAGCCACCACCATCCGAGGAAAAAGGCTTCCACTGTCCACCCTATCTAATCCTACAGAACTGAAGAAGGGTCATTAGATCCAAAATGTTAACTCTGCTTTCTCTCCATGGATGCTGCCACACCTACTGAGTTTCTCCAGCAATTTGTTTCAGATTTCTGGCATCTGCAGTTCTTTGGATTTTTGAGTGAGTCTAACACCTGTGGCATTCAAACTATTGGAAACATTTCTGAGGGACAGAATTAATCTCCACTTGGAGAGGCATGGGTTAATCAAGGATAGCTGGTGTGGCTTTTGTAAGACAGTGATCATTTCTAACAAATGTGATTGAATTTTTGAGCAGGTGACTAAGTGTATAGATGAGGGTAATGCAGTGGATGTAGTCTACTAAGACTTCACTAAGGCATTTCACAAGATCTCAAACGGCAGGCAGCTTAAGAAGCTAAAAGTCCATGGGATCCTGGGCAATTTGACAGATTGATACAAAACTGGCCTAGTGTCAGCAAGCTGAGGGCAATGGTGGAAAGGTGGCTTCAAAACTGAAAGCCTGTTCCCAATGGTGTACCACAGGGTTCCTCGCTATTTGCTGTGTACCTTAATGATATAGATATAAAGGTAGCAGGTTTGATCACTAGTTTCACAGGTGACATGAACATTGATGGTTAAAAATAATGAGGAGGATAGGCTTTGATCACAGGGTAATGTAAATAGGCTAGTCAGATGGACTGAACAGTGGCAAATGGAATTTCATCCTGAAAACTGTGAAGTGATGCATTTTGGGAGGAATAACAAGATAAGGGAAGACAAAATGAATGGTCGGAACCCAAGAAATACAGAGGAACCTTGGCGTGTTTGTCTGTAGATCCTAGAAGGCAACAGGACTAGTAGAAAAAGTGGTTAAGAAGGCATATAGACTTGCCTTTGTTAGTCAAGGCACTGAAAACAAGTGTAGTGATGTTATGATGGAGCTGTATATTGTGTTAGTTAGGCCACAGCTAGAGTCCTGTGTGCAGTTCTGGTCTCCACACTATAGGAAGGATGTGATTGCACTGGAGGGGGTGCAGAGGGAGATTCACCAGGATGTGCCTGGGATGGAGCTTTTCAGTGATGAAGAGGCAGTGATGAAGGGGGATCTGATAGGGGTATGTAAGATTATGAGGGTCATGGACAGTGTGGATGGAAAGCAGCTGTTGCCCTTAGTGTAAGGGTCAATAACAAGAAGGTGTAATTACAATGTGAAAGGCAGGAGGTTTAGAGGGGATTTGAGGGAAATGATTTTCACCCAGAGGGTGGTGGGGGTCTGGAATGTACTGCCTGGGAGGGAAACTGAGGCAGGAAACCACACAACCTTTAAAAAGAACTTGGATAAACACTTGTTGTATAATAACAGAATTGCTATGGGCCAAGTGTGGGAAAGTGGGACAGGTGTGTGCAGTAGTGTATTTTTGGGGCGTATAAAGTGGGACGGGTGTGGGCAGTAGTGTATTTTTAGAGGGTATAAATTTGATGGGCCAAAGGGCTTCTTCTGTACTGTATGATTTTTTTGATTCCGTGATACAAAGGTACAGAGTAAAGCTGCCTCTACACTGTCCCTATCAAACAGACCCAGGACAGGGACATCATGTAGTTAGATTCAGGGTAGAGCCCTCTCTGTACTGTCCCCATCAAACACTCCCAGGACAAGGACAGCATGGGGTTTAATAAGGAATAAAGCTTCCTTGACACCTCCCCCATCAAACACTACCAGGACTGGGACAGCACGGGTACGATACAGAGCAAAATGTCCCTCTACTCTTTTAAATTGAAAATAAAGCTTTCTTAACACAGTTCCTGTCAAACCCTCCCAGGACAGGGACAGAATGGGGTTAAATACAGATTAAAGTTTCTTCTATACTGTCCAAACAGGACTAATAAGAGAACGATGTTTTATCAGCATTACACTACAAGAGCAGTTAACTAAGTCTAACCTCAGAGAAACATGTAACAATCACTCACCCGCTAGTCCAGCACACTCACTTGTGATCCCAGCTGAGCTCCCAATTTACTGGCAATTACAGATGAGTATTGAGGGGAGTGCTGTTTCTCTCTCTCGCTCTGGCCTCCTGTCCTTATTGCTGGCAGTCAGGCTTGCACTTGTTCCCCTGACTGAGTCACTATGAATCTGCAGGGCAGCTTACTGTAGTCCCCACACCTACAGCCATTACATTAGGCTCCCCTGTACAGTCAGTTGGCATTTAAACCAGTTGCAGTGCCCACCACTGGCATAGCTGGTCTTAGCTAACTGCACAGTGATGTGTCCAACCTCCTGGTGTGCACTGGCACTGGCAGAATATTCGAGAGTTCTGGAGCCTGTAAAAAACCTCTCCATGAAGCAGCATTGTGGATATTTGATGGCCACAGTTGGCCGTTTATGATCTGTGGGCCGAACCTGCCCGTGTGTGATGTCTGTCCTCCACCACAGCTCAGACTGGCAGCAGAGAGCACCCATTCCTTTTTTTCTCTTTATTCATTCACGGGATGAGGGTGTCGCTGGCTGGGCAGCATTTATTGCCCATCCCTAATTGCCCAGAAGTCAGTTCAGAGTCAACTATATTGCTGTGGGTCTGGAGTCACACGTAGGCCAGACCAGGTAAGGATGGCAGTTTCCTTCCCTAAAGGACATTAGTGAACCAGATGGGTTTTTCCCAACAATCAACAATGGATTCACGGTCATCATTAGATTCTTAATTCCAGATATTTATTGAATTCAAATTCCACCATCTGCCGTGGCAGGATTCGAATCTGGGTCTCCAGAACATTATCTGGGTCTCTGGATTAATAGTCCAGCGATAATACCACAAGGCCATCGCACCCCCCTCCCCCACTGCACTAACTCACCAAATCTCACTCAACAGCATTTTCCAAACTCAGGACCTCTCCTAACTCCAAACCCCACTCCAAGCCACATACCATCCTGATTTTAAATCCTTATGCCTCTACTTTCACTGGGTTAAAAGACTGGAATTTCCTCCCTCAGCGTATTGTGGTGGTACCGACCCCGCAAGGACTGTAGTGGTTTAAGAAGTCGGCTAAGTCACCATCACCTTCTCCAGTGCGATTTGGATAAATTAGATGATAAGTGCTGACCCAGCCAGTGACACACACACATTTGGAGAAAGGATCCATCTAGTTTTAAATTCAGGGAAAGGAAAAGGTACAGGCTCCCAGTCACTGTTTAATAGTCCCCTGCTGGACATGGTCTGAGTAAAATTATGTCTACTTTCAGCTGTGGCAGAGATTACAGAGGAGCGGAGGATAGATACTGGAAGAGTTTGAATCAATGTTTTCAGAAGTTGGGGGGAAGATTGGGAGAGGAGCTGATGGAATTCAGGAACATACAGAGGCAATAGATCGCTCATACTTTGGCTTATATAGGTCACGCTAATTGACAACTGCATTGTTTTACTTCAAACATCTCCCACAGATACTAACCAGGCCTAAATTATTACATGACAGGTCAATGGATTTTAGGGTGTGGTTTTTTGTCAGGAGTTCAGAGAAGACCACGGCCACAGGCTCCGTCAGCTCATTGCATGACAAGTTGATGTCTTCCACTGAGGATTTCACAAGCGCTCTGCCTAAGGCCTCTCCCCCTTCATCCCCGATTTGATTGAGACAAAAGTTGATGGATTTGAGGGTTGAGAAACGCCTGACTTTGTAGGAGATGGCTTTAGCTCCATAAGCTGAGATGCGGTTGTTACACAGATTGACTTTTTCCAGTTTAGTCTTGTGCAGAAGCTTGGCCAGGACCTTTGCCCCATTGTCCTGGATCAAGTTGTGTGACAAGTCCAGTTCTATCAGTGAAGGATGGTTCAGCATGTACTTCACCAACACTCGCAGTTTCTCATCATCAATTCTGTTTCGAGGGAGTTTGAGCACCTTCAAGGTCTTGCAAGAATTGATAGCCTTTGCCAGCGAGAAGCAGTCTCGGTAAGTGAATTGAAAGATGTTCCATTCAAAATTCATCCCACAGTCCTTGACCCCATAGGTCACATGGAGCTCTTCAAGATTGATGAGTTTGCTAAGCAAGATGCTGAAGTCGAAGTGATCTACTGAAGGTCCAATCACATCACTATCACTGCCAGCATCTGAAGAGTCATCGTCCATTGCCTCAGAGGATTGCTTGACAGGAGGAAGTAGCTGGGCAACATCTAACGTCTTCACATAGTTTCTGCAGAGCGGCACCAGGTCCAGGACCACCTTTACATCGGTGGTGTCGGGGACAAAGAACTCAATGATGTTTTTCAGCAGACGTTCAAAGAACATTCTCTTCCAGCTGTTTCCATAGCTGGAGATGTCACAGACCTCCCAGCATTCAAGGCAACACCGTTTCCAATAACCTTCATCACTGATCAGGTTCGCTGTCACTTTTAGTGGGATATTGGTAGAAATCTTGGCCAACACTTTGCGTCTGTCTTTCTCCTGAAGTTGCATCAAAAGGGGATGCTCTGTAGAGTTAAAAGAGGGCACAGGGTATGTGAATGACTCAGCAGCACTATCTCCAGGAATTGTGGAGACCATTTGCAAAGTACATCATAATCCAAAGCTTCTTTGATCAAGTCAAATGATAATTTCATAGAATTGTAAAAAGACACAGAAAAGAAAGTGGTTATTCAGCTAGTCAAAGCTGTGCTGGTATTTTGACAGAGTTAGTCCCACTCCATGCTCTTCAACATGACCCTGAAAATCATGTTCCTTATCGAATTTCCTCATAAACATTACCATTGAAATGGTTTTACACTGTCCTTTCAGACAGTGTGCCACATACCAGAACAACTTACTGTCTACAAACACTTCTCCTCCTTTTGTTAATTTTCTGAAACAGAAATGGAGGAACAGGTGGAGATCTGTCCCATTCAGAGAGCTTATGGCTAATCTGTGACCTCATTCCACATACCAGACTGATAAAAACCTGTTAGTCTCAGCTTTAGAAACAACTAGTGACCGAGTCGCTGTTTGTGGAAGAGAGTTTCAAACGACGACCAGAAGTCTCAATGACTATCTCCATCATTAACGATGGTGGAGCCCAGCACATCAATGAAAAAGAAGTGGATGCATTTGCATCCATCTTCAGCCCGAATCACTGAGTGGATGATCCATTGTGACCCCTTCCCGGGGGTACCTCAGCATCACTGATGGAAAGGGTCATCAACAATGCTGCCAAACCCATTCACTACACTCAGTTTCTGGGTTCCACCAGGACCACTCAGCTCCTGACCTCATTACAGCCTTAGTTCAAACACGGACAAAAGAGCTGAATTGCAGAGGTGGGGTGAGAGTGACAGACAGCCCCTTAACATCAAGCTCATGGAGTTTAGGCTATGACTCAGACCAGCTGTGACCTTATTAAATGGCACAGCAGGTTTGATGGCCTACTCCTGTTTCACATTCACAATTTAATATAGACTTATGTTCATACAAGTGTAAAGCAATGACCTTCGCTAACACAAGAGAATCTAACCATTGCCTTTGTAGTGTTCTATAGTGTTACCATTGCTGAATACCCACTATCAACACCCTGGGGGTTACCATTGACCAGAAACTCAACTGGACCAGCCATATAAACACAGCGGCTACAAAAACAGGTCAGAGGCTGGGAATACTGCGGCGAGTAACTGACCTTCTGACTCCCCAAAGCCTGTCCACAGGGCAGGAGTGTGATGGAATACTCCCTATTTGGGTAGATCAGTGCAGCTCCAACAACACTCAAAAAACATAACACTATCCAGAACAAAGCAGCCAACAGTGGCAGTAGTGTGTCTTATCTACAAGGTGCATTGCAGTAACTTACTTACTCAGGGTCCTTAGATACTATCTTCCAAACCTACAACCTCTACCAACTAGAAGGACAAAGGCAGCATTGAAACACCGCCACCTGTAAGATCCCCTTCATGCCACTCAGAATCGTGACTTGGAACTTTACATCACTGCTCCTTCATTGTCGCCGGGTAAAAATGTTGGAGCTTCTTTCCAATACTTCCTCCCTATACCCCAAAGACTGTAGCGACTCAAGAGGGCAGCTCACTACCACCATCCCCAGGACAATTAGGGATGGGGAAATAAAACCAATGAGTGAATACAAAATCTGCATTACTCTTTATATGAATAAATATTTCCTAATTTCACACCTGAAAGGTTCTGGCTCTCATTTTTTGACACAGTTCCTAGACTTCCCCATTCACAAGAAATAACTCCCATCATTAGAGTGGAATGGTGCTTACTGGTTAGCACTGCTGCCTCACAAAGTCAGGGACCTGGTTCGATTCCAGCCCCAAACAAAAATCTGTGTGGAGTTTGCATGTTCTCCCTGTGTGTGTTTCCTCCCTCAGTCCAAAGATATGCAGGTTAGGGTGGATTGGCCATTCTAAATTGCCCCAGGTATCTAAGGATGTGCAGGCTGGGTGGGTTAGCCATGGGAAAAGCAAGGTTACAGAGATGGGATGGTCTGCTTTTCAGAGGGTTGGCTTGGACTTGATGGGCCGAATGGTCTGCTTCCAAATTGTAGGGATTGTGAGATTCTATCTACCCTGTCTGATCTTATTGTTTTTAAAACTTGGATCAAAACACCCCTTAACCTTCTAAATTTCTGTACATGTTATCTGTGTACCAGGGCTGCTTTTCAAAGAAAACGACTTAAAGCAGATAACTAGCGTGAGATGATGTTTGAAGGGGGGATGCATTTAATGTAAGAAAGGATTTAATTAATGAGAAATAACAAGGCAACAGGGCAGGCTAGTGAAGTGGCAAATAATAATGGAAAGGGAAAGGATGGGGCAGTTTTCAAGTATATTGGGACCTAAAGAGGGAAGAATTATGAAAGTCTTTTCATCTGAATGCATGCTGACCCTGCATCAGTGAAGGAACGGTGATATATTTCCGAGTCAGGATGGTGAGTGACTTGGAGAGAAATTTGCAGGGGGTGGTGTTCCCGTGTATCTGCTGCCCCTTCCTTCTAAATGGAAGTGGTCATGGGTTTGGAAGGTGCTGTCTGAGCATCTTTCTGCAGTGCACCTTGTAGATTGTACACACTGCTGCTACTGAGCGTCAGTGGTGAAGGGAGTGGATGCTTGTGGATGTGGTTCCAATCAAGTGGGCTGCTTTATCCTGGATGGTGTCAAGCTTCTTGAGTGTTGTTGGAGCTGCACCCATCCAGGCAAGGGGGGAGTATTCCATCACACTCCTGACTTGTGCCTTGTTGATGGTGGGCAGGCTCTGGGGAGTCAGGAAGTGAGTTACTCGCCACAGTATTCCTAGCCTCTGACCTGCTTTTGCAACCACTGTATTTGTATGGCTAGTCCAGTCAACTTTCTGGTCAATCACAAGGATTTTGGTCTCCTGGCCTATGAATGCATGTACTTGCTATAGAGGGACCACAAGACCATGAGAAAGAGGAACAGGAGTAGGCCATTTGGCCCCTCGAGCCTGCTTTGTCTACAGTATGGAAACAGACCCCTTGGTCCAACTCATTCACCCTGACCAAGTTCCCAAACCAAACTAGTCCCACCTGCCTGCATTTGGCCCATATCCCTCAAAACCTTTCCTATCCATGTACATATCCAAATGTCTTTTAAATGTTGTAACTGTACCTGCATTTACCACTTCATCTGAAAATGTTGCTCCACATGTTCTTTTTAAATATTTTCAGAGGCCATAATTTTAAGATGAGAGGAGAAAGATTTAAAATCCATTTGGACAGGTACAGGGAGGGACATTTTAGAGGGATGTGGGCCAAACGCAGGCAAATGGAAAGTTTAGTTTGGGAAACTTGGTTGGCATGGACGAGTTGGACCGAAGGGTTTCTTTCTGTGCTGTGTCACTAAATCTTGACAGAGTGGGAACCAGTGATTATAATGCCATTGAATATCAAGGGGCGGTGGTTAGATTGTCTCTTATTGGTGATGGTCATAGCCTGGCATTTGTGTGGCGCGAATGTCACTTGCCACTTGTCAGCCCAAGCCTGGATATTGCCCAGATCTTGTTGTATGTGAACATGGACTGCTTCAGTATCTGAGGAGTCAGGAATGGTGCTGAACATTGTGTAATCATCGGTGAACATCCCCACTTCTGACCTTATGATGGAGGGAAGGTCATTGATGAAGCAGCTGAAAATGGTTGGGCCTAGGATACTACCCTGAGGAACTCCTGCAGAGATGTTCTGGAGCTGGGATGATTGACCTCCAACTCCAAGGATGTTTTTGTGACTGGAAGCCTGTGTCCAGTGGTATACCACAGGGTTCAGTGCTGGGTGCCTTGCTGTTTGCTGTGTATATTAATGATCTAGACATAAATGTCAGAGTTATGATCACCGAATTCACAGATTAAATGAAAACTGATGGTTTCGTAAATAGTGAGGAGGATAAATTTTCACTACAGGATGATATAGATGGGATAGTCACTTGGGTTGAACAGTGGCAAATAGAATTTAACCCTGAAAACTCTGAGGTGATGCATTTTGGGAGGAGTAACAAGACAAGGAAATACACAATGAATGGTTGGAATCCAGGAAGTACGAACCTTGGTGTGCATGTCCACAGATTGTTGAAGACAGCAGGGCAGCTAGAAAGAGTGGGTAAGATGGCATACAGAGTACTTACCTTTATTACTCCAGGCATTAAATACAAGAGCAAGGAGTTATGATGGAGTTGTATATAATGAATGTTAGGCCACAGCTGGGCATTGTGTGCACTTGTAGTTGGCACACTACAGGAATGATGTGATTACACTGGAGGCTCGGCAGGGTGTTGTCTAAGCTGGAGTGACTCAGTGATGCAGAGAGACCAGATAGGGCGGGATTGTTTCAGAGATAGTACGAACTGCAGATGCTGGAGAATCTGAG